TATATACATACATACAAGGAAGTCATATTTGGGGGAAGACATGTAATAGCAGACTTAATTGTTCACAACACAATTGCCAATTAATTAATCAGCTGTTAATAGTTTAATAAGCTATTAAGTAGTTTAATCAGCACGTTTAGCAGACAAGGAAACATATAAATCTAGTGCACTCTTTTCAAATTAGGCTAGATAATAAAACAGGCCTATACTGTGGTAGTATTTACTGTATATAGGCTAATACTATGCAGGTCAAACCTTACTACTACCATTTCAGCCATATAATTCAAGCATAACAGCCTGTTTATAACATTAATGTACAGTACAGCACAAATAAATGGCAACTGTATTATTTCAAGAAACCTGTAGAAAGTACCTAAAAGGAACAAAAGTGTACCTTAAAGAAACCTGTAGATTTCAAGAAACTGAAACAAGTAGACTTGGACTAAAATAAAATGATTTAAAAATGTGACACCTTTAAAATTTAAATGTTTCCTTTTTCACTTTCAGTTGCTGATGCCTACAATTTCAGCGGTTAGGTTTCTTTGTGCGTCAGACAGAAACATGGAAAATATGTGACGCCACATATGTATGCCACTCAAACCACTGACCCAATTTCACCCTTGGTCTCCCTCCATCTTCAAACCAACTTACAGCCTCCTATTTATACATCAAAACACTTTGAGGTAGAATGTTGTATTAGTTTTGCCTTACAACTGTTATTATTTTGTATTATACAGTAATTAGCTAAATTAAATTAAACTAAACAAGAAACAACATAAAATAAAACAACAACAACAACAACAACATTGTTTTCAATACAAACACTGAAATATTTTTTAAACATTAATAGTGCTATTTTGTGTGTTGTGTAAGTGTGTGAGAGCAAATTAAAATGAAAAAGAATTTATTTAAATACTTAAAAGTAGCTTCAATTAAACTAAAGTTTAAGCTGTGCATAACAAGTCAAACTGCGGAAAATTGCATTGACAGTTACATACGCATCACCCACAAGCACCACCAAACATTCAGCTGTGGCCAGCATGAAGTTTTCTATCACTGCACTCAGTAAGTGATTTCTCCTCATATTTCTCATTTAAATATGTATATTTCATTTGTAGTGTATATATTGTTTTCTAAGTAACTGTAGATGTGCATCAAGGACTGTGCATTATTTCTACCCTTCATTTTTCTCTGAGTAACCCATCATTTCTGTTTCAATGTAGTTGCACTGAGTTGCATTTATTGGAAAGTCCTTGGAACACTTGTGGAGGTGGTGGTCAGGCCTGGAGATAATGCAACTCTGCACTGTGACTGTGAGATTGTCATAGGACAGGACTTTCATTGGGTCAAGATCTGCTCTTCACAAATCCGACCACCTCTGATCATCTCTGCATACAAGAGCCTATTACAACCCATTCCGCGATTCACTCTGTTCTATAACTACAGATACTTCAAAATCCTATGACTTAGTGATCGAGAACATCACTGAAGCAGATCTTGGTCTCTACTATTGCTCAAGGGAAGAGGCCAGGAAGATTACAAAGAATGGAATATCTTTGAGGAAGATATGTACCACACTGGTGATACTCTCATAAAGCTCACATATGGTAAGCTTGTTTCACACTGCAAACAATGTTGAATAAAGAGCACTGAATAATCTGCTGAAGCAAAACATAAATATACTAAAAGAAGACTTATAGTCCTAAAAACACTTGGTGTAAGAATTAGAGAAATGTAAAATACTTATATACATTTGTGTACTTTATGATTACCTTTTTTTGCCAATAAGGTGGGTATTGTCATTTTCATCTCTAGCTAATTTAGCAATGCAATGCTGCTATTAAAATGTAACATACTGACAACCAACATACACTGTTAGACATTTCTGTAATTTCTACAGTTATTTACTGTATATCACCCAGTATAATACTGCAAATTCGCTTTACAGTAAGTAACTGCAATACCCTTTGCATCATGGGAATTTTCTGTGACGTCAAACCCCACATACAGTGACTTACTGTATTTTTTAAAATTGCTGTATACTACTGTATTTGCCGTAACGGCCTCCTTGGCGCCATTCAATTGAGGCTGCTTTATTTTCCTCATTTCTCACATTTGGATTGACAAGATTTGACTTACACCGTGTTTACAAACACCGCAACAGCCTGGGACTGATTACACTGGATATTACATCGCTTGTAATGATGATTGGAAAATCCATTTGTCCTTTGTGTCAGAAACAGTGCGAGCGCTTGGAGTAAATCTGTGCATCAGAAATATACCGGGGCATCACTTTACTGTATGCATCCACTGTAGATAGTATAATGGGTTCTATATTGTCTTTTGTCGAGTCGAGTCACGCCGCGCCGCGCCACTCGCGTCAGAGGAACACACCAAACCAGCGAGGCAGCGCCGCAGTTTTTGCCCGGGGATGAACCCGCGAGACTGGAAGAGTTCCGGAGAACATCTGTGCTGTGTGTTGATGCACCTTACGAGAGAATAAGACCAGTAAGCAAGGTAAAAAATATATGTACGTTTGTCTGTCTGTTTGTGTCAACATTTTTGCACACCAGTTTAACCTAGTAACATTTACCCGTCAACATAGCGGTAACAAACTTTACTATGGTAAACTGCGCTGTCGTTTCAAATGACTTTTGTCAGCTTATTGAATTACCGAATTAAAATTACTTTTAACGAGCAACACTTACCTTGCATTAACATTGTAACTAATGTAAAATTTT